AGGAAAGCAGACCAGTTGCTGGTGTGTTTCGGGTCCCCCAAGGCTGGGCTCCCCGCTTCTAAACACACGATCAGCAACTGGATTGTTCAGACTATTTCCCTGGCCTATCGGGTGCGCGGGTTACCTTCACCTATGGCCGTAAGGGCGCACTCTACTCGAGGCATGGCAGCCTCTAAGGCCCTCCTCGTAGGGGCTTTGCTCCAGGATTTGTGTCCTTTTCAGATCAGGCTGTTCATCCACCTGTCCATCGAGCAAGACATGAACCACTCTGAGTAGCACTCTGAAAATGGCCGACCTGCTGATGAGGCTCCCTGGTGGCCATGAAGAGAAGCCACTAAGTAAGTTGTCCACTTTTGATGCACGCATTTCTCTAATAGAATTAATGCACAAGGAGTTCCAGGCAATACGGGACAGCCTGGAATTCAGCCAGAAAATCATGGAAAAATTTAAGTAACAGCTATCATGGCCGAAAATAAACAGTTAAAAGAATCCATTCTTGACCTACAGTCTCGTCGCATGAGAGATAATCTTGTGTTTTTTGGCCTACCCGAACAAACACCCGACAACCTGTAAAATTCAATAACGCATCTACTTGTACTAATCTCAAGATAAGATGGTGCCTGACCATTAAGAGCTTTGTAGGTAAGAAGAATGATTTTAAATTCTATTCTGGATTTTGCTGGAAGCCAATGCAGAGAAGCTAAGACAGGAGAAATATGATCTCTTTTCCTGGTTCCTGTCAGAACATGTGCTGCAGCATTCTGGATCAGCTGAAGAGTCTTAATGGACTTTTTCGAGCAGCCTGATAATAGGGAATTGCAGTAATCCAGCCTAGAAGTAACAAATGCATGGACTAGTTTTTCTGCATAATTTTTTGACAGGATGTTCCTGATTTTTTCAATATTACGTAGGTGAAAAAAGGCGGTCCTTGAAATTTGCTTAATGTGAGACTTAAACGACATGTCCTGATCAAAGATAACTTCAAGATTCCTCACAGTGGTGCTGGAGGCCAGGACGATGCCATCAAGGGAAACTATATCTTTAGATAATGCGTCACAGCATGGAGGACTCATCGTTAACATGTACAAACTGAAATCAATCTGATAAATAGGACTTAAACCATCTTAGAGCGGTTCCTTTAATGCCAATGAAATGTTGCAGTCTCCAGGATTTGTGTCCTTTTCAGATCAGGCTGTTCATCCACCTACTATACTGCAATGGAATGCAAGAAGTCTAATTGCTAATGGACAGGAATTTAAGCATTTTATCTCAAACCTCCAAGATAAACCCAATAATATATGCACAGAGGAAACATGGCTAAAACCACAATGGGACTTTCATTCAGGGTTACACAGCAATTAGGAAAAGGTGGTGGGGTAGCAACGTTTGTGCTAAATGGGACAAGGTTTAGTTTGATGAGTGTAGGAAAAGAGCATGAAGCAATAGTAGTCAAAAGCTGGACAGGAAGAGATGAACTAACAATAATTAATTATTATAACCCTTGCAAAAGATTAAATATAGACACATTGAATACTGTGGGTGGGCAAACACGGGATAAAGTGGTAATCATCGAGGAATTAATTGTGGATAGGGGATTAGTTTGCATGAATGATGGAAGTGGCACCAGATATAACAGTGTTCAAAATACAGAAAGTGCAATTGACTTAACATTAGTATCGCAGGGAGTAGCAGGCATTACCACATGGGAGGTGTTAAATACATCATCAGGAGGTAGTGATCACTACCCTATAATAGTTAAGATTGGAGTAGAGATACATCATGAGGAAAACTCAAGAATAAAAAGGTGGAAACTAGATGGAGCAGATTGGGACACATTTAAAAAATTATGTAAAAATAAGTGTGAGAGTTTAATCAGAGAAGATTTATCAGATGGGGACCAATGTAATTAAAAGTTGGTGGGATTCATTGTAAATGCAGCAGAGGAAACGATACCAAGAAGTACAGGGAGCAGAGTGAAAAAGAACGTACCCTGGTGGGATGTAAATTGTAGCAAAGCTATTAAAAGAAGAAACAAGGCATTTAGGCAGTAAAAAAAACATCATTCACTAGAGACATTAATTAATTACAAAAGATCACAGGCCATAGTCCGGAAGACTATAAGAGCAACAAAACGTGCATACTGGAGGGATTACTGCAATAAAATTGGAAGAGAGACATCACTGGCTGATAAATGGGGAATGGTTAGAAAAATGAGTGGAATCAGAAGGAGTTACAGTATATAATACCAGTCTTAATAAGTGGCAATCAGTAATGTGGAGAAGGTAGAAATGTTGGCAGAAATATTAGTTAAAGTACACAGTTCAGATAATTTATTAGTCAAAGCCAGAAAGTGCAGAGATAACACTCTTGCCATGAACCCAGGTGTCAATATACAGAAGAGCACAACAACTGATGATTTAGATGTACCATTTAGCTTATTTGAGTTAAGGAGGGCTATCTCAAAGACAAGACAATCATCTCCAGGGAAGGATAACATCTGTTATAGCATGTTAGCTCACTTGGAAGATAGTGCACTTACTGTAGTTTTAAGATTATTTAACCGGATTTGGGAAACAGGCAAAATACCAATAGCATGGAAACAATCAATCATAGTACCAATAGTAAAACCTGGGAAAGATCCATCAGACCCCTCAAGTTATAGACCAATAGCACTCACATCACATTTGGGGAAAACCATGGAGCATTTGATAACAGACAGATTAACATTCTTTCTAGAAAGCAGAGATCTGTACTCACCATACCAAAGTGGGTTTCGGAAAGGGAGAAATACAATGGACTGATGTTTGGAATCTGAAATCAAAAAAGCTCAGACAAATGGAGAGATTGTGGTAGCTGTCTTTTCTGATATTGAAAAAGCATACGATATGTTATGGAAGGAAGGGTTACTTATCAAATTAAATAAATTAGGTATAGGTGGTAGACTGCACAACTGGGTGTTGGACTTTTTATTTGGCAGGGCAATAGAGGTCAGGGTGGGCACAGAATATTCAAGACTCTATAAAGTTGAAAATGGTACTCCACAAGGCAGTGTGTGTAGTCCAGTACTATTTAACATCATGATCAATGATATTTTTGAAAAAGTGGAAAGAAGTATTGGGAAGTCCTTGTATGCAGACGATGGGGCCCTATGGATAAGAGGACGGAATTTGAAATTTATTTTTCAGAAAAAATTAACATGGAACAGTGGCCAAATAACTGGGGTTTTAAGGTGTCGGGTGCAAAGACACAAATGATATGTTTTTTCAGGAGACATAAAGAAGTGTCCTTAAAATTATATGATCAAACCCTCGAACAAGTAAAAGTTATCAGACTGTTAGGAGTGTTGTTTGATGAAAAGTTGACCTGGAAACAGCACACTGATAAGGTCAAAGACAAATGCAAAAAAATCAATAACCTTTTAAGATGTCTGTCAAGAAGGGACTGGGGGGCCAGTACAACATCATTGCTTAAAATATACCAGACCTTGATGAAATCTACACTAGATTATGTATGTATAGCATATATCTCAGCAGCAGAATGCCATCTTAAAAAACTAGATGTGGAACAGGCACAAGCGTTAAGGACATGCAGTAGAGCATTTAAGACCTCTCCAGTGGCTGCCATGCAAGTGGAAATGGGGGAACAGCCACTAAGGATAAGAAGAACAAGAATTATGCTAACATACTGGGCTAATCTTCAGGGACACTGTAGCTCTCACCCCGCTAAAGCCATCGTAGAAGAATGTTGGGAACACAATAAAAGTAGCTGTTTCAGTTTTGGATGGGTGGGAAATGCAAAAGCAGAAAGCCTTGGCCTGTGCAGTATAAAATATATCCCAGTAGTCCCATATCCAGATCTTCCTCCGTGGTTTTTTGTAAATCCATCCATTGACCTGCATATACAGCAAATAATCAAAAAGAAATCCAAGCAAGCACACACGGGAAGAATAGCAGAAAGTTACATAGAGCAGCACTATAGAGATAACCACATGGTCTTTACTGATGGCTCTAAAGATCCAGAGACCGGACGGACAGGAGCTGGCATATACATCCCAGCATACAAAATAGGCATTAAAAAGAGAACCCCAGATCATCTATCAGTATATACAGTTGAGCTTATGGCCATTTTTATGGCATTACAGTGGATAGAAGAAAATAAGGAAAGCAAGGTGGTCATTGCATCACATAGCTGGACAGCGCTCACCAGTATTAAATCTGTTAAATCCTGTAGGCTGGATCTGGTATTTAGTATTCATAGCTCTCTATGTAGATTATATCATAAGGGCTGGACTGTCTGCTTTGTTTGGGTTCCTGCCCATGTAGGGGTAGAAGGAAATGAAGTTGCTGATATTCTGGCAAAACAAGCACTTAAATCAAAGTCAGTTGATATACAAGTTCCGCTAAGTAAATCTGAAGCTAAAACAATCATTAAAGAGAAAATGCAAACAATATGGCAAGAATACTGGGAACTAAATGAAACTGGACGACATCTTTACAGTATACAGAATCATGTTGGTCTGGGAAGAAAACTGGGTGGGTGCCGGAAGACAGAGACCGTCATTACCCGTCTAAGAATAGGACACACAGGGCTTAACCATTCACTTTATAATATAGGTCACTGTGTAAAATCTAATATTATAGAGACCATTCAACATGTGCTGGTTGAGTGTAGAGGCTATGTAGAGGCGAGGAGGAAAATAGCAGCAGTTGTAGAGAAAGCTGAGCTCAGGTTCACTGTCGAGAACCTCTTTGGGGATAAAGCATGGGGAATATCAAAGCATCTCATTAAATATCTGAAAGAAACGGGATTAATGGAAAGGATATAGGTTTTCAATTTTTATTTATTTAATTTTGTTTGTTTGTTTGTTTTTTTGTTTTATATGTTTATTTGGTTTTTATGATAGTCTGCACATAATCTGTTCCACACTCCAGTCCGGTAGGTGGCGGTAATGCTCCTAAATGCTGGCTGCCAACCGCCAATCAAATCAAATCAAAAGAAGCAGAAGAAGAAGTTGGTCAGCCGCCGTCATCTCGAACGCAGCTAATGCTACGTCATGGTGACGTCACTATCCAAGATGGCGATATTTGCGTGGCAATATCCTGGGCAGTGTTAGCAGAAGAGGGACGGTGGGAGTGCAAAAGGTATTGAAGGCTTAATTTGTCTGTGGCTGCGTTGGGGGTTATTGACGGCGCTCCAAGGTGAAAGCTGAAATCAGTCTAACCTTGAAACTACAGGGGCTTTCTTTCGGACCCTGGCCGCTAACTTGTGTTAGCTTGTTAGCTGGGATGTGTAATGCTAGGCCGCCTCTGTTTTAAGTTGGGTGAGCACGAATGAGTCATGATTGCGTTCAAACAGGTATCTCTGATCAGCATTTCACAACATTAGTTCACATATCAGTTGCTTCTACACTCTGAGACATCCCACTGGCCGTGAACACAGCAGTGGTGACCTGAAGCGTTTGAATGAAAGTTCCATAGTATTTATTAGAGCGGGAATAAATTAGTAAGGTTGTTATACAGGCCGAAATTAGCTTATTGCAGTTGTGTGTTAATAAACGTCTGCCAATTTTAAAAACAAGAAAATGCAGGACAGAAATGTCAAACAAGATTTGAGGTCATTTTCAAACAGTGTTAACATTACATCGTTTGCCAACCAAGGTTTTGGGGAAAAATACAAATAATCTCTTAAATGAAGAAATAAAGCACATGGTAGCTACTAGTACGAAATCAGTGACTCAGGTATGGGGTTGTTAGGAAATCCAATTTTTTTTTAAATGTTATATGTAAAAATAAAAATTACTATGAGCCTATCTTTTCCGAGATTTAAACTGTCAAAAATGTATATCTGTATCGACCTCAAAACTTAAGTATCAGTCTGGCTTTTGTATTTTTTGTGTAGTAATTACTGAGAAAAACACAAGTTGCTTTAAACTTAACTTTTATCATGTCCTTATTAAATCTCCTAAATCATATTTTAGTAAAGCTGTTGTTTAAGACTAATGAATTATTTCCAATATCTCTTCCAATGTAAGGGAGTCCTTAAGGAAGGTTCAACAGTGACTTGTCTCCACTAAAGAAATAGCTTGGTTTCCTCATTGCTGAGGCCCCATCCACACTACTGCATTTTAGTTTTTAAAATGGAGACCTTTTGCTACGTTTGCACCTCCCATCCAGACTAAAACGGCTAAAACAGAAGTTTGAAAACACTCCTGTTTTTTTGTTTTGAAACTCCAGAGAGTGTTTTAGTGCAGACGGGCAAAAATGGAGGACTTTAGAAACGATTGCGCAGATGCTCACGTTTGGCTCTCTGATTGTGTCTTATAAGTCAGGCAAAGCAAAAACACAGTGCTACCAATAGAGTTTTTAATTTGGTATATTTAATAAAATGTTTTGTACTGTGCAAATAACACTTACAGCCTACACTTGTACTGTGTATGTCGCTGTTTACTGTGCGTCGACTTCCAGTCTGTTTTTCGCCACCACAGCCGCTTTTAACTCTCGTGTTACATTCAGTAACAGTCCCAGCTTGTATATTGGTCCATGCAAATTAAAATCTAGTGTGGTTCTTCATCTTTATTTCCTTATTCTTTCGCCAAATCTTCTGTAACTAGGGAGTAGACCATCTGCTTCATGTTTACACTGGCACATGCATGCTCAGTGTACACAAACGGCCAATAGATGTGTTTTCAGTCGTTCTAGTATAGACTGAGATCTACTCTGAATCGCAGCTAAATCGCTGGTGTGGAGGGAGATTATGTTCGTTTTAATTCCCTTGTATTTAAACTAAAACGGAGTAGTGTGGATGGGTCCTGAGGGGAAATGACTAAAGAGAGTGTGGACACAGACAGGACAATTGCCTTCGCTTAACCAAGCCCCGAATACGCAGCTGGCAAATCATAGCGCAGTATAGGACTCGCTCTAACTGCGCTCCATTCCCTGTATTGCAAAAAGAGTTGTTTTCTAGCTTTTTTTTGGCTTGTATTTTTCTAAGATCTGGTCAAAAGCTGTCCCTGGAACACTTGTAAAAGTACAGTCTCTACCCAGGGAGGTGGAAAGGAGAAGTACAATTTATTCTCTTTCCAAAACCTAAAACAAATAAGAAAAATGTCGGCTGTGGATTGTTCCTAATGTCATGTTGGTATGCGTATGCTAGCGACTACTGAATGTAATAATGAACAGAGTCCTACCCAGCTGTACAGGAACAGTGTTGATCCTTAAAATCATTGTCCTCTTTCTCAGTAGTCAGGTAATACGGTGGTTAACTTTTACTCCGTGATCTTCTATCTTCTATCTTTGTCTTTATTTTTTCACGTCAGTTTGACAGCCTGAAAACAACCTTATAATGCACAATGCAACTGCAAAACCGATTGCTTTTTCCAGAAATTAGACAATATTTCTCCAGGGAGTGCAGTTTGTCGGACTTAGCAACAGTAACTAAGGGGGGCGTGGTTTAGCGAAGGGTCAATTCCTATGGACAATTTATTTCGTCTCTCACTCATTGACACTTTGATTGCTTCAGAGAACTGACACTTTGACATTATATTTTCTTTGCATTATTTGTTTTCTTTTGGCAGATTGACCTGGCTACCCAAGTTCCTTCCCTTCAGTCCAGTTTGGCTTCTTCTCTGATTTTCACCAGACATTTTTGATAACTGAACCATAAAAACACCACCAACAAGAACGTTTTGGATTGCAGCTGAGATCTCAATCAGCAGGTATGGCAATTGTCACAAAATGGCCCCTTAGCTTATTTAGCCTGAAGGCCCCTTTATCAGATGACGACCCTCCCCATGTCAGCCAATTACATACAAACTGTAAACCTGAATAAGTTCAGAATACTCAATATTTGTGTGTGTATATATATATATTTGTAAGTAGTGGTAATAATATTTTTGAGTCAATGTTAAATTAAATATGGTACTTTCATATTTTAAAAATCTTTAATTTCGGCATACTACATTACATTGACTCACTGATGCTTGTTAAAATTTAATTCCAATGACTAAGTCTTTACTCTATAAATGTAATTGTGCAAAACTTATACTCAGGGGGAAATTAAAACTATTAATTGTGCTAGACCCAAATACCAATGGAAACTTACTGCTAGTTAACTTAAAATTTACAAAATGCCCATTTTCAGATAGTAGTCCTCAAAAATATGAATACAACTCCTTTATTACAATTCAGGTTTTCCTTATTAAACAATCAGTATCAAAACTGTAAACATCTGATGATAGATATAACTGAGTATCATCTGCATAACAATGAAAGCTTATGGAATATTTCCTGATAATATTGCCTAAAGGAAGCAATTACAGATCCTTGTGGAACTCCATGACTAACTTTGGCATGCATGGAGGACTCATCGTTAACATGTACAAACTGAAATCGATCTGATAAATAGGACTTAAACCAGCTTAGAGCAGTTCCTTTAATGCCAATGAAATATTCCAGTCTCTGCAATAGGATCTGATGGTCAATGGTATCAAATGCAGCACTAAGATCTAATAAAACCAGTACAGAGACAAGTCCTGCTGTTTAGCAACTGCTTTCTCCAGAACCTTAGAGAGAAATGGAAGGTTAGATATAGGTCTATAGTTGGCTAAAACATCCGGATCAAGTTTGGGCTTTTTCAGAAGAGGTTTAATTACAGCTACTTTAAAGTACTGTGGTACATAGCCTGTTGATAGATAGATTGATCATATCTAGTATAGAAGTGCTGACTAAGGGTACAACATCTTTAAGCAACCTAGTCGGGATAAGAGGGAGGTTGATGGTTTAGATGAAGATATTATTGAAGTTAGTTGGTAAAGATTGAGGGAAGCAAAACAGTCTAAACATATATCTGGTTCTACAGCTGTTTTTTTATAAGGTTCCTGAGTTTAGAGATAATTTGGTGCCAGTTGAGAGCAGGTCTTGGTGAATCTTGTCTCTAATAGCTAGAATTTTATCATTAAAGAAGCTCATGAAGTCGTAACTACTGAGAGCTATGGGAATACTTAGCTCGATAGAGCTGTGACTCTCTGTCAGCCTGGCTACAGTGCTGAAAAGAAACCTGGGGTTGTTCCTGTTTTCCTCTATTAATGACGAGTAGTACGCTGCTCTGGCATTACGGAGGGCCTTCCTATAAGTTTTAAGACTATCTTGCCAAATTAAACGAGAATTTTCCAGTTTGGTGGAACGCCAATTCTTTCTCAAGTTTCGACGATATTTGCTTTAATTTGCGAGTTTCAGTATTATACCATGGAGCTAACCGTCTTTGTTTTAGTATTTTCTTTTTTAGAGGGGCTACAGAGTCAAGTGTCATTCGCAGCAAGCCTGCAGCACTATCAACAAGATGATCGATTTGGGAGGGACTGAAATTAGCATAGCTAGCTCTGATAGCTCTTGATAATGAATTTAGAGCTGGTGGAATCGCATCCTTAAATTTAGCTACAGCACTATCAGACAGACATCTTGTATAGAATTTTTTTGCCCAATGGCGTGTAGTTCAGCAATACAAACTCAAAAGTTATCAAACAGTGGTCGGATAAAGAGGGATTCTGTGGGAACACCACTAAATATTCAATTTCAATACCATACACCAAAACAAGGTCGAGGGTGTGGTTAAAACAGTGAGTCGGTTCATGAACACTCTGAGAGAAGCCAGTGGAATCTAACAGAGATAAACACAGTACTAAAGCTGTCATTCTCAACGTCCACGTGAATATTAAAATCCCCTACAATAATAACTTAATAAAGATGTGAGCAGTAATATTAATGAGGGGTGTTTCACTGACCGTTTATAGGCAATCATGCGCGTTTGAAGGATCGGACATGGAGCTCCCCCACAAGCGGCACATTTCAAGTTGATTGTGATTTATAAAGGGAACTTACACTTACAAGTGTGCATACGCACGGTTTAATACGTCTGACTATTTTTTTGGTGTAAGCCATTTTTGGCTTTTGGGCGCACACACTTTTAGTGAGGTTTTAGTTTTATATTTGAGACCCCAGGTTTTCCCCCAAAGTTGGCAAATGATCGACAAAACCCACATAGTTTGCTGGACACCATCTCGGCAACCAGGGTGTGTCGCTGAGTGGGGAGAATCTGTTAGAAACGTGAACAGGTTAGTGGTAAACCGTGGGGTAATACTTATGGGTATTCCCCTTTTGGACAGTCACCCAGCCTCCCTGGCTTCCCAGCTAACAGGAGTTACCTCAGGTCTGTCCGCATTGGTTACTGGGGACTGGCTAAAGTAGCTAACAACTGATATACCATGGTGCGCAGCCAAACTTCTAAATCACTGAGCCTCGCCTCCATGTTGACAAATTTAAACTAACATATCTTCCCCCAAAATGATCTACAAAGCCCACATTGTTTGCACTATCTCAACAACCAGCAGCGAAATGATGACATGCGGCTATACATGTCAGTACATGAGTATACATGAGTCTGACATCAATCTTGCACTGACTGAACATTAATCTTAGTGACCTCCAAATGGCGTAACTGCGCGTTGTTACCGCCGACATGGATAACAATCTGTATTTACGTTTATTCTTAGCCAGCAGTTTTATATAAGACTCATTGTTGCCCTCTCTGGCTCCAGGGATGCACTTAACTATGGTTACACTTGTTACATGTACCATTAAGGCCAAAGGAGGCAGAGGAGTAACTAAACATTTGACACACCGAGCAAGAGGGAGAGGGAGAAGCCATCACTACCTACTAAGATAAAGTATGGTTGTGTTAGCTACCAAAACTCTTATAAACAGTGAGTTTTAGCTAGAGTCGCTAAAAGATGGAAAGAACTGTGAGTGCTTAAGCAGAACTACTTTTAAGTGTGTAACTGGTTTTCAGTTAGACTCTGTTAATAACTCACAAGCACCAGAAACGGAATAAGTCAATACGCTTACCGCAGCACGTCAGCACCGTAGACTCATTTTTGGAACCTGCTCTTAACAGTCTACTTATATCTCTTATATGTTTCAGAGCTAAAACGTGCTGACAGGAAGAAAAGCATTTGGATGACATTCACTTTCATCAATCAAGGCTATGAAATGAGTTCTTCAGAAGAGGTGAGGTAAAATACAAATTAACATTATCCAGTATTTTGTCATGACGAAGGCCACCACAGACTGAATTCCAGCTACCAAATTGCACATTGCACACAGCACCACCAGTAGGGTCACACATCTGCTCATGTAGATTTCTGGAATGCTGTAGCACCAATAGGGGATTTTCAGCTGCTTTCACAACATTCAGTATAATGCACATTTCTACAGAACTAATTCAATCAGTTTAACAACAGAGTCATGTCACATTCACCACTCTGCTGCTCTGAGTTTCTCTTTCAAAGAAATACATTCAGTAACAGATTATTCAGCAGCAGAAAGTGACGGGAAAAGCGAGTTTGTTGTCAATCTGGCAGTAAATGCACTGTACTCAGAACAAACTCGCTTTTCTTTGTGACTTTCTGCTGCTAAACAGGTCACAGCGTGTCCATTAATAAAATGGATGTCTGTTATTTTGCCAACTGCTGGAAAGTGAAGGCGGTTAGCACTAGCTAACCTCTGCCTGACACTGGTCAGAGACATTACACAGGTGCTGGTCATATAATTAGAATATCATCAAAAAGTTGATTTATTTCAGTAATTCCATTCAAAAAGTGTTCATTCCTTTTAATTTTGATGATTATAACTGACAACTAATAAAAACCCCAAAATCAGTATCTCAGAAAATTTTGAATATTGTGAAAAGGTTCAATATTGAAGACACCTGGTGCCACACTAATCAGATAATTAACTCAAAACACCTGCAAAGGCCTTTAAATGGTCTCTCAGTCTAGTTCTGTAGGCTACACAATCATGGGGAAGACTGCTGACTTGACAGCTGTCCAAAAGATGACCGTTGACACCTTGCACAAGGGAGGGCAAGATACAAAAGGTCATTGCTAAAGAGGCTGGCTGTTCACAGAGCTCTGTGTCCAATCACAGAGGTGAAGGGAAGGAAAAGATGTGGTAGAAAAAAGTGTAAAAGCAATAGGGATAACCGCACCCTGGAGAGGATTGTGAAACAAAACCCATTCAAAAATGTGGGGGAGATTCACAAAGAGTGGACTGCAGCTGGGGTCAGTGCTTCAAGAACCACCATGCACAGACATATGCAAGACATGGGTTTCAGCTGTCGTATTCCTTGTGTCAAGCCACTCTTGGACAAGACACAGCGTCAGAAGCGTCTCCCCTGGGCTAAAGACAAAAACGTCTGGACTGCTGCTGTCCAAAGTTATGTTCTCTGAAAGTAAATTTTGCATTTCCTTTGGAAATCAAGGTCCCAGAGTCTGGAGGAAGAGAGGAGAGTCACACAATCCACGTTGCTTGAAGTCCAGTGTAAATTTTCTACAGTCAGTGATGGTTTGGGGTGCCATGTCATCTGCTGGTGTTGGTCCACTGTGTTTTCTGAGGTCCAAGGTCAATGCAGCCGTCTACCAGAAAGTTTTAGAGCACTTCATGCTTCCTGCTGCTGACCAACTTTATGGAGATGCAGATTTCATTTTCCAACAGGACTTGGCACCTGCACACAGTGCCAAAGCTACCAGTACCTGGTTTAAGGACCATGGTAAGGTAATTGGCCAGCAAACTTGCCTGACCTTAACCCTAAAGAAAATCTATGGGCTATTGTGAAGAGGAAGAAGCGGTACACCAGACTCAACAATGCAGAAGAGCTGAAGGCCACTATCAGAGCAACCTGGGCTCTTGTAACACCTGAGCAGTGCCACAGACTGATCGACTCCATGCCACGCCGCATTGCTGCAGTAATTCAGGCAAAAGGAGCCCCAACTAAACTACTATTGAGTGCTGTACATACTCAAACTTTTTATGTTCATACTTTTCAGTTGGCCAACATTTCTAAAAATCCCTTTTTTTGTATTGGTCTTAAGTAGTAATCTAATTTTCGGAGATACTGAATTTGGGATTTTCATTAGTTTGGGCTCGAGCACGACCGTGTGAGGTCCCTATTGAATTTGCTAAGATTATATATATATTTTTTTTTTTTCCTGCAAAGTAGGCTCAATTGACAGGGCCTAAACATACTCGTAAACTCACAGAAATTTGCAAACATGTAAGATGAGAGTCCCGCCCTGAACACATGTACATGCCGACATTCACCCACAGTCATAGCACCACCTGCTGGAAACAGGAAGTGACCTTTAACAAAGCAGCCCCCGCCGCACGTTTCACCTACGTGCACAAATTTTCTGTGGTACGTGTATCTTGTCCAGACACACAAAAAAGTCTCTTGGAGCCATAGCCTAAACCCAACAGGAAGTCGGCCATTTTGAATTTTACGTCAAATTTTGGATGATTTACACACTGCGTACTTTAACGAACTCCTCCTAGGGATTTAGTCTGACGGACCTCAAATTTCTGCTGTGCCTTCTAAAGGCATTGAAGATGAAAAGTTGTGCTATTTGCAAGTTTTCGTCAGTGGGCGTGTCCGTGGCATGGCGTCAAAGATCAACTCTTCGCCATGACACAGGAAGTTGTTGTAACTTCAGTGTACATGCTCACATCTGAACCAAACTTTACGTGCTTGATAACTCTCCCACCCCGCAGACATCTACACACCAATACCGATTTATATTCATAGCGGCAAGTGCTATGTAGCTCCACATAGGGGACACAGGAAGTGACACATAGCACCTTCATGCGGCGTCGGAACCGCGTAGCAAATTCACAGCCGCACCGGCAGAGCTCCAGAATGTGCAACTCGGCCGGCTCACACCTGGACGCGCTACAAGTGCGAGGGCCTGCCCAACGCTGCTTGCAGCTTTAATTCTTTCTTTCTTCTGCAAAGCAAGCTCAATTTTGGGGGCCTACACGTACCACAGAAAATTCGTACACGCAGGTGAAACGTGCGGCGGGGGCTGCTTCGTTAAAAGTCACTTCCTGTTGTCAGCAGGTGGCGCTATGACTTATAAATTAATTATCAAGTCACAAAGTAACTCCAGGGTATAATACTGAAACTCGCAAATTAAAGCAAATATCGCGGTAACTTCAGAGGAATTGGCATTCTACCAAACTGGAAAATTCTCGTTTAATTTGGCAAGATAGTCTTAAAACTTAGGAAGGCCCTCCGTAATGCCTGAGCATCGTACTACTCGTCATTAATAGCTCCATAGTGCTTAGTAGTAACGATTTCATGAGCTTCTTTAATGATAAAATTCTAACTATGAGAAACTAAATTCACCAAGACCTGCCCTCAACTGACACCGACTTATCTCCAAACTCAAGAACCTTTAGAAATGGCTGTAAAACCAGATATGTTTAGACTGTTTTGCTTCCCTCAATCTTTACCAACTAACTTCTATAATTTCTTCATCTAAACCATCAACCTCCCTCTTAGACCCCATCCTGACTAGGCTGCTTAAAGAAGTTTTACCCTAGATATCTCTACTAGATATGATCAGTCTGTCTTTATCAATAGGCTACATACCACAGTACTTTAAAGTAGCTGTAATTCTGAAAAAGACCAAGTTTGATCCATATGTTTTAGCCAAATATAGACCTATATCTAACCTTCCATTTAAATGTAAATGCTGCGTATTTGTATAGCGCGTTTCTAGTCTTTTACACTACATCTGCATTCACCAGTCATACACAAACGGAAACTAACATTCACACTCATTCATACACTGGTGGAACAGCCGCCAGGGGCAATTCGGGGTTCAGTATCTTGCCCAAGGACACTTCGACACGCAACCAGGGGAGCCAGGGATTGATATACTCAGTTATATCTATCTGTCAAGCCAGATGAAACTCATCAGTTAGCTAAACTTCAGATGTGCCTTCAGGATGTTAAAACCTGGATGACCTGTAATTTTCTAATGTTAAACTCAGATAAAACTGAAGTTATTGTTCTGGGGCCCAAGCACCTCCGTGATGCTTCGTATTTGTATAGCGCCTTTCTACTCTTTTCGACCACTCAAAGCACTTTTACACTACATCTGCATTCACCATTCACGCACATTCATACACTGGCGGAACAGCATCCAGGGCAATTCTGGGTTCAGTATCTTGCCCAAGGACACTTCGACATGCAGCCTGGGGGAGCCGGGATTGAACCGCCGACCTTCCGATTAACGGCCTCCTGAGCCACAGCCGCCCCACATGACGATTATCTAAAGATATAGTTTCCCTGGATGGCATCACCCTGGCCTCCAGTACCACTGTGAGGAATCTTGGAGTTATCTTTGATCAGGACATGTCGTTTAAGTCTCTCGTTAAGCAAATTTTAAGGACCACCTTCTTTCACCTACGTAATATTGCGAAAATCAGGAACATCCTGTCTAAAAATGAAGCAGAAAAACTAGTCCATGCATTTGTTACTTCTAGGCTGGATTACTGCAATTCCTTATCAGGCTCCTTATCAAAAAGTTCATTAAGACTCTTCAGCTGATCCAGAATGCTGCAGCATGTGTTCTGACAGGAACCAGGAAAAGAGATCACATTTCTCCTGTCTTAGCTTCTTTGCATTGGCTTCCAGTAAAATCCAGAATAGAATTTAAAATCAGTCTTCTCACCTACAAAGCTCTTAATGGTCAGGCACCATCTTATATTAAAGAGCTCATAGTACCTTACTACCCCACCAGAGCACTGCGCTCCTAGAATGCAGGGTTACTTGTGGTTCCTAATTAGAATGGGAGCCAGAGTGTTCAGCTATTAAGCTCCTCTCCTGTGGAACCAGGTTCCAGTTTGGGTTCAGGAGGCTGGAAGCTCTTTGACCAGGAAGTCCTTTCAACGTATTACAGTCAGCCCACCACCACAGCCCTTGAAGTGAAGCCCACTTGCATAGCCAGGTAGGGTGGCTTGGTTAAGTGTCATGTAATCCTCTTGATTTTGCCAGGTTTCAGTTAAGCAGAGAGTGTCTCATTTGCTTTCTGTCATAGATGAGAAGTGCTTTATTGTTAAAGGAGCAGGCATTTTGCAGCATAAATTAAGCTCTATTGTTTGTGGATTGTGGAAGGGGGGGTGCTTGCTTGCTGTGTTCTCAAGTCAGACAAGCACCGATCAAATTCATTAACTGGCTCAATTTGGTAGCCTGCCGAGCGCATGAAAAAGCACTGGGAACTGAGGCTGAGATGCTCTGACAAACAGGAAAGTGGGCAAGATTATCCTGTTCCAGATTGCACTTACATAAGCGAAATTTACGCTGGAAAGCTGTGATCATCTCGGACAGCTGTGTGATGACTTCTTTGCGTCCCTGCAGCCTCTGATTCAGTTGGGCGAGATGCTCGGTTATGTCACACAACATAGCAAAATCACACAGCTAGTTTGGATCTGACAGGCAAGGGTTTTCCTATACGTTGCATGAAAAGAGCAATTACTTCCCTAAGCTCAAAAAATCGTCTGAGGCCTGCGCTCCTGCTCAGCCATCTTACTTCTGTATGGTACGAACAGTCTCCATGTTGTGAGCCCATCTCCAGCTGGAACTGGCGGTGATTCAGGCCACGCGCCTGAATGAAGTTCACCGTTTTCATGACAGTGGTCATTACATCATCCAGTAAAAGAACCTAGTTAGTCCCACCAACTTTTCCCAGGGTCATTTATTTTTACTTATGGACTTCTCCACTGAATCAAAAATGTCCCTCCCCGTTGTCCAATGCATGGCAGCTTCATCCAACAAGCTCCTCAGTAACAAAGAAGTCCACCTTTTGCGCTGTATTGGTGTGGTCCATGCTTTCATTAGCAGTAGGTATGATAATGATTAATCGAGGATCAATTAATTGATCATTACGAATTTTATCAAACAAAGTTTTATCGATTTTATTATCAAATAAAGAATTTAAATGTGTATCTTCTATTAAGAATTGTTTTTTTCAAAGCACGTTTCAATGAAGCACAGAGGCCTTGGGGTTTAGAAGACAGTGACAACTTTGGGAAATGAAGTGGGCAAAGTATTGTATGGGATAATTTTGAGTTAAAAGAAGAAAATGCCACCGACAACATCTACGCTCTACCATCCTGCACTCTGCAGGATCCTTGTATCGGCAGCATCAACCAACCATCACCACATGGTTTGCACCTAAGAACTGCAACACACAGCAGGCAGAAAAAATAACCCAATCAATCTGTAAAGTTATAGAAAAAGACATGATGCCTATCAGTGTGGTTGACAGCCCAGGATTTCGGGAAATGATGCATCTGCTTGAACCAGCATATCATATCCCATCACAAGGCACCATCACATCACGCATCGAGAACGGATACAAGAATGCTAAGTCAGATGCTAGCGCAGCTAGCTAGCGCCACCAACAAGGTCGCATTGACAACAGATAGCTGAACTGCCCTAATGACTACGTGACCATGACTTGTCACTACTGTGTTGCTAACTAGTACTTTGCCAGGCAGGCATACGGCAGACCACCTCGCAGAAAAATTAAAAGAAGCAGCAGAGGAGTGGGGGCTTGAGGGTAAAGTGATAGCATGTGTGCACGACAACGCGAGGAACATCACCACAGCAAACCACCCCACCAGGGTGAACTGGTATTTGGTGCTTGCTTCGCACATACACTTATGCTTGCCATCAATGACGGATTTGCAATCTACCTCTGTGGCTGGTAGGCTTGTGAGCCACTTTAACCACAGCACTTTTGCCACCAAAGCCCTACAGGAAAAGCAACAGCAAATGGGACTGCTACTCCACCGGCTCATCCAGTCCACAAGACTCGATGGAAGTCTGCTTGTGACATGTTCGGCCGCCTAGTGAAGCAGGGGTTGTGGTTTCTGTCCTTTCTGACTGGACTGTCACCAGGCTAGACACTGCTAAGACCCTGGAGCTGAAAGAGGAATATTGGAGGCTCATGGAGGACTCAGCGGCATTTTAACCATGCCATGTGACCAGTGGTGGAAATGGTTGGGAACCCAGGGGAACTGTGTTCTAGGAGTAAAAGTAGGCACATTTTTATAGGGGGAAATCGCTTCTGTTTAACTGTGTTCAACTGTGTCTAAAGCATGTTCATGAAACATAATTTATTGTACTTACAGGGTCCCTTGAACCATTCCCCTGTGCTTGATGCTGCAGTGGTGTTGACAGGTAGAGAATATTGAGCCGTGTTTCAGGATTCTATTATGCACTAGTTTTTCCAATGTCTTTGCCTTTGTTTTTTCAATATTGAAATTGGATGAAAGTTTGCAAAGGATCCTGGATCACCTCATTTAAATAGTGGAATAACTTTTACCGGTTTCAGGTAATGACTTCTTTGATTAAGGAGGAACAAGTTCCATTTATTTATTTTTTTGTTCTAATATAATATTCACCTCCTTAGGGTCAGGCAGATCAAAATTATTAACAGATGGAAAACTACCCATTATATAATCTAATGGGTAAACTTTTGTATCAATTATATTTTTGGCAAGGGATGCACCAACATTTGAAAAGAAGTCATTAGGCCTACAAGCTACAAATACTTATTTGAAAACCTGCAAAATCAGCAAAGCATGTAGAGGTCTGTAATATTTATCATAGGTACACTTCAACTGTGAGACAGAATCTAAAACAAAAATGCTGAAAATCACATTGTATGATTTCTAAATAATTAATTTGCATTTTATTGCATGGCATAATTATTTGATACATCAGAAAAGCAGAACTTAATATTTGGTACAGAAACCTTTGTTTGCAATTACAGAGATCATACGTTTCCTGTAGTTCTTGACCAGGTTTGCACACACTGCAACAGGCAATACGGACTTTCAGCTCCCTCCAAAGATTTTCTATTGGGTTCAGGTCTTGATACTGGCGAACACTGGATGGTGTTCTTGGCATTGCACTCATCCTCCTTCTCCCTCCAAACACAGAGAGTGGAGTTTAGACCATAAAGCTCTATTTTTGTCTCATCAGACCACATGACCATTCACCCATCCCAGCCTTGTGCAGGTCTACAATTTTATCCCTGATGTCCTTACACAGCTCTCCTCTCTTGGCCATTGTGGAGAGGTTGGAGTGTGTGGACAGGTGTCTGTTATACAGGTAACGAGTTCAAACCGGATGCAGTTAATACAGTTAATGAGTGGAAAACAGGAGGGCTTCTTATAGAAGAACTAACAGGTCTGTGAGAGCAGGAATTCTTACTGGTTGGTAGGTGATGTAGCATGGCTACTTATGATCTAATAAATTTAAGAGAATTAATAAAAAATTATGAATTTTAATATTCAGAGGATATTAATTTGTAAAGCTTCTCGTTTCACGTGGCACCCAGTCTCCGGACCTCTGGGTAGCGTTTTAATAATTATACAATTATTCACTAGTGATCAGCTAGTTAATAATCGCTCAATTATCCTAAATCAATCAGTCAGTCTCATATCGAAGGGGTAAATTGTCGTGGCAGGGACTTGGAGGTAGGCAATACACAACACAATTCCTTTGATTACAGTGAAGTTTATTAACTAACTAAGGTGACATAAATGCAGTTAAATATACATCAAAGAAATAAACAATGGCTTAACAATGAGAATGTGGGGTTCTATTGTGGGGAGAACTTGATTTCATTTCATTTATTCATTTAAGGACAGTGCACATTAATAAACATTTCTGTAAATGTGCCAGTGTTAGCCAGCAGGCTAATTTTCAACTGTAGTCCATATTCATAGGGTGGAAGAGAACTAATGAAAGCAGTTAGATGATACTGACTTGGTTAAATTTGTCTAGGAGTTTTAAGGACTAAAGATAATGGATTAACAGACTATTGGACATCACTGATCACAGAATGCCTTGTTTTGCCTTACTGTGGGTCGTCAGCCTGCCTTGGCCTGTTGCACGGATCCCCACGCTAGCTGCCCGATTCCAGGCTTTCTGCTTTCCGGGGGTTCTCTGTGTCTTGAATGAAGAAAAACCCTCAAGTGTTGACCGTCCTCGGTCTGGCAATGAGGCTGTTCTGTTTGGATGTCCTTGGGTTTCTGCTGGCGGGCCTGCGTGGCTGGGCTCGGCTTCAGTGAGAGCAGTGTAAGTTAGCTCGACGAATAAAGCTTAGAAAGAACTTGGTCACTCACTTCTTGAATTAAACAAGTGTAGCTTAATGGTCTGATAACTTTTAACAACAAAGAAAATAAAATAAAAAGCAGGTAAAGTTGCTGGAAACAAGGGGAAAATCGAGGTTGCGGCGCTTCGTGTGTGTGGCTTAAAATGGGCCAGGTCAAACTGAGGGAGCACGCTGGGCACATGTTGAGGCGCAGTTGAAGAGGCCAAGAGAAGAGCAGAACAAGAGAGAACGAGACAGCGTGTGTCTGTTGGGGCGTGGTTCCCAGAGAGGCAGTCCTTTGTTCCCCTGAGGGAGGGCTTGTTTCCAGTTTCCTGAGAGACCATCTTTTCTTTAACTTTTAATATGTCTAATCAAAATCTATTTGCGCGTATTGTAATCAAATATCTTCCCACAATCAAACCTTAATTCTCAAACGGTTATACCGTTCTTAGTTTAAGCATTTGATAAAAGGAAAACAATTTTCAGTAGTTCAACCTTAAGGTTAGCATTTCTGAATGATGGCATGCAATACTTATTTTGTCCACTTGGGGGAGCTCGGGTTACATGAGGGTCACTTTGATTAATCCTAAACAATTTTCTGCTCAGGAGCTGGGGAATTTAGTCATTTAACATTAAATTCGAGCTGGAAAATTAATCAAGTATAGGATGACATTTCTTTATCATATCCTTTCTCAAGGAAGTGTCAGAAAGTGGGAACAAAGCATTGATTACAACATAAAACTAATAAAGGTCTGGGTCCAACTCCAGGGGAGGAAAACTTCCCTCCCCCCCTTTCTCTGAGAGAGAGAGAGGGAAGGAATTTTGAGTTTTATTTTTGTTTTAGATTCCGTCTTCCGTTGAAGTGTACCTATGATTAAAAATTACAGACCTCTACATGCTTTGTAAGTAGGAAAACATGCAAAATCAGCAGTGTATCAAATACTTGTTCTCTCCACTGTATATCAAATGGATCGGTGACAGTATGTCTATCTGTAAAGATTGAAGGAAATTGAGCAGAGGCCTTTCTTCTTTTAAGTAACTGATTAATAATTTTCCCTGTAACCTTGATATTTAATTTTAGCATTTTTTAAATTGTTCACTGAAAAAACTTTTTTTGGCTACTCTAAGGAGATGGAGGAATATATTTTTGTGAGGTTTATAAATAGCTAAGTTTAAAGGATTTGGCAATGAGATATATTTTCTGTATAGATTGTTAGGGGTTTTTTGGAAGACTTTTTCAACCCAGTAGAAAACCATGGATTTATTTATTTTTTACCAGTATCAGCAGAACGAGTAACCAGTGAAAAACTTTTTGTGAAAATTTAATTAAATAGCTCCATAAATACTTGGTAAGCTGAGTTCACATTGCTGCTCTCTCTATTTTTGTAAGACACAATTTTGATGAAGACCGATTCAACCTATTACCAAAATTCAAAGTTTTGATGTAAATGCTCCATCCTTGCCTGACGGTTACTCGCGGAGAGCTGTCTCATGTTTACCTGAGGAAAAAGCAAACCTGCGGGGCCATTTTAAGAATGTTCCTAAGACCGACATTTTCCCCAATACTAACCAGCGTGCAGTGTGTGGCTATCCACTTTTCTATGGCATTTGATCTCTTGTCCTGCTTTTGTTTATCTACTTCTCCCACATGCTGCATCCAACATATTCTGCCGAAGCCTCCCTCCGCTGCTTGTTTGGGCAATTTGCAGGCTGATCAGTATCCCACCCCTCCTGTGACCCATAGTTTGACTGGATGTGTATTCAGAGCCAGTGAGCAGCGGACTTTCAAAATAATAATTTTAAAAGTTAACGTGCGATAAAATAATTGCCGCGTTAATCATGCGTTAACGCAATAACGTGTTAACGTGCCCAGCATCAGTACAGGAAGTGCTGAGTTTCACCGACAGTGTAACAGCAGTCAGGAATAAATTGTGAATTAATTTTAACTGTGGTAATATAATAAGAGATGTGCTACTTAGCGGTTCTGTGCATTTACATGGGTTAGAGTTAAACTCTTATCAATTTGATCTACTAGCATTTTTCGACAAGTCAGCATAAATTAAGCACTGAACCATTTGACAATCTTTTGAATGAATCATGATTCAGTACACTGAAAAGAACTGCATGTTCATAACTATAAAACTGTAGCTGATGAAGACAGAGTCCGACCGATAAGGGTTTTGGGGGGCCGATGCCGATATTAAAGTAAAAAAGAGCCTGGAAGAACCTAGAGGAAAAGACGACTGTCTACGAGGACTTGCAACTTCAGAGATTTCATACTTACTATAACTACAACATTTCATGTTTGAAATAGGAGCTAGATAACTTTTTTTTGTCTGGGAAGATATGTTAGCTTGTTCACCTCACGTTTATTTATGTTCCCTCTGGTTTAATAATTTCTGATACATCGACTATAACTACAGACAAGTGTCTTGCAGAAATATTTATATTAAACACTATAGTTAGTTAGGTTTGTGGCTAATCTAATTTAGCAGCGTTAGCGTTGGATATTATTTAGAAGCGATGAACTACGGACAAAGGATGGGACTGTTCACTAGAATTGCCACACTGTTTCAGAAATAAATCTACAATCAAGTGATGAAGGCTATTTTTATTATTTAAGTCACATATTTTACAACAAATGACCGACTCACTGTGATTACATGTTGTTTGTTCAGCATGTTCTCCGGTCAGCTGATTGTTTTGTGGTGTGGCAGTATTTTGAACATGGGAGTTGCAGAGCGCTCTCTGGTGGGCAGACCCTTCATTGTTGCAGGGTCTGTCTCTTCGTTTCTGTTTTGATCATCATTTATCGGATGTTGTAAACGCCAATACTGATTTAAATACAATTGGCTCATATCAGCCGATAAATCGGTTAGGCTTGGAGGATAGTAGCCAACATTTTCAAATAGAAACTAATTCTGTCAGAAACACTGTAATGGCTAGCAGTCCTTCACTCTGATTTGTAATTCTTTTTCTGTTTTTCTTAGTCAAAGCAGACGGACGCAGACCGGAGCAGAACTCACCAGTGTCAGAACTGTGGAAAATCTTTCAGTCGGCTATGTAGTCTAAGAAGACACGAACTCACTCACACTGCAGAGAAAATGTATTTCTGTGAACAATGTGGCAGCAGTTTTAGTCAACTAAATGCATACGAGCTACACCTGCATACCCACACTGAAGAAACACCATTCTGCTGCGACCAGTGTGGAAGGCATTTCAGCAACCAGAGGTCGTACAGAAAACATCTGCGTGACCACACTGGACCATACCAGTGTGAGCAATGTGAAAAGAGTTTCAGTTACTTCAGTATTTACAAGATACACATGCGCGTCCACACTAAAGAAAAGCCATATTGCTGTGACCAGTGCCCAAAGAGTTTTAGTTTTTTAAGTTCATACAAGCGACATCAGCTCAGCCACAGTGGAGAGAAGCCGTACCAGTGTGACTTTTGCGGAAAGAGTTTCACCCAGTCAGGGCATTTCAGTCTGCATCTGCGTAACCACACTGGAGAGAAACCATATGAGTGTGACCAATGTGAAAAGACTTTCAGTGACATAAGTAGTTACAAGATACACATGCGTGTCCACACAGGAGAGAAACCGTACTGCTGCGAACAGTGTGGGAGGAGTTTCTCTCAGTTAGGTAATTACAAATCACATATGCGGATCCACACTGGAGAAAAACCATTCCGCTGTGAGCTATGTGACAAGAGTTTCTCTATTTCAAAAACGTACAAACAGCATGTGCGAACTCACACTGGAGAGAAACCGTACCATTGTAAAGAATGTGGGAAAGGATTCAGTCGACTAAGCAACTACATGCGCCACCTTCGTATCCACACTGGAGAGCAACCATATAGTTGTGACCAATGTGGGAAATGTTTCAATAGTTCATATAGTTACAGCCGGCATCTGCGTGTCCACACTGGAGAGAAACCATACTGGTGTTCACAGTGTAAGAGGCTGTTTACTCGATCGCAGTCGTTAAAGAAACACCGCTGTGTTGAATTAGAAGAAGACAGTTTGACTGTGTGTAACAAAGAAGCACAAGTGAGCTGCTCACCAAAAGAACCAACAAAATAAACTACAGTGTGTGTGTTTGTGGTAATGAAGGAACATGTTACCCAGTGCACCTGTGGTGGTGGTTTTTGTTTTTTGGGGATTTTTTTACCTTTATGTGAGAGAGGACAGTGTATAGAGACAGGAGATGAAGGTGGGGAAAGGCAACATGCAGCAAAAGGTCGCAGGCTGGATACGAACCCATGGGCTACGTGTTCTACCTAGTGGACTAACCACGCCCCTTTTTGTTGTGTTTTTAATAGTTTTTGGACTGAAATGCAGCTCAGTGGCACAGATGAGATCATACTGTGATACACACAGTAATAGGACACACATTGTTGATTTTGTTGCTTTCATTGGATTTTATGACACATAGTAAAATATGGAATATATCACTAGACATATCCTTTAGCAAGTCTCTACACTCTGTCTGAGATTATGAATATGCTTGAAAGATATTGAAATGGCACAGAGTGTGAGGTTTTTAATAAACTTCCAAATGAGTGACTTTATCAAAGACATGGGGAATGACGCTGTTACAAAGTGAATTGAGTCATTTGATCTTATTTGGTCATTGCTGAAGTTTTCTAGCCAGCTATCTTACTGATGTTGATGACACAGCTCATGTTAAAATTTGTTTGTGGCATTAATATTAGTAACTCAAAGGGACTGTGATTGTTGACTGTAGATATAACACTATTAAGGCCAACATTTTAATATGTTGTCAAAGTCAGGACCTGTCTGTAAGCACCAGGCCTGGGTCCACAACTGAGCCGCAGTGTCCCTGTTAAAGCTGTGGTTATTTGTCTTTTTATCATCCATTCATAGCTGTTTTCATCAGTCATAATTTGTGCCCATCATTTGAGAACATCCTATAGACTCAGTAAAACATCACTGTCGGCATCACTGAAGAACAAAGACATGTCCACTGTGATAAGATTCACGTTGGAGGAATATGACTTTGATATTGTTTTAATTCAAAGTTATTAGGAAGCACATTTCATTAACGTTAAATCCGTTATTGGATACTTTATGTGTAAAGAATATTTAGTTGTTATTATTTAATTGTCAATCTTTTTGATCCTCTTTATTAAAAATTGGATAATATACCAAAGGTTGAAAATGTATTGATGTATAATTGAATAATGTCTTATTTTGTGGGCTTGAGCGGTATCAAGGTATTACAGTAAACCAGGGTATTTAGAAATCCCAAAGGTATGATTTTAGTAACACAGACACACCTCTGTCTTAAGGATTGATCAAATTGGCTCTTAGATTGTTTATTTTTTTGTGCACTTACCGTAAAACGTTTATTTATAGCCCAGGCTTTTATTTGCTAAAATTCTATTATATAAAATATTACTTAAAATTATCAAATACACGTCATTCATTTGATCTAGCTCCTACAGGCGGCTTATGCGCTTTTATTTTGAAGACAGCAACGTAACAAAAACAACAACATGGAGCAGGATGAGAGAAGTGTGGCAGAAGTTAGCAGACAGAGAGCGATGGACTTCACTTGACAGTATTCCCAACTTAACTTAACATCCAAAGAACTTCTATAAAAACCAGACCAGGTTGCTTTGTTTCTGGTTTGAAACCCTTATATCATGTTTATTACAGCCATGTGTAATGTCAACTTCTGACATAACTACGCTCCAAACCAGCCGATGGAAATACACACATTTCGCATTTATATTTTTGCGATATTTCCGATACAGTTAGATGGAAACATGGCTAATGTTCAGACCTCACTGTTGGATGATCATTTTCAGTAATAATAGTTCAGTGAAAGTGTTTACAACAACGTTCTGAGGTGTTTATTTTGCCAGAACCCACTCAATGTGTATTTGTTATCCCTGTGTTTTTATATAGTATTCTGTATATATGTAGTTGTTTTAGTAAAGATGTTGTTAATAATGGTTCCAAAATGCAAGTTCAACCTTACAGCTGGAAACATTTGTGGATAGTGATGACTCAGCACCAGGAACACCATAGAGGAATACCTGCAAACATCAAATAACAGCTGGATTGATGTTCATCGGAGTACGTCTTGTATCATTTCCTATTTGTACGTGGTCAATTACATGAAATCCACATAAACTAACAAATCTCTGAATATGAGTGAATTGTATGTGGTCTATTAGTATGTAGGATTGTACTGTGATACTATGGAAGATGAAAAGTTATTTACCAATACCAGTATATAAACATGATGTAAAATAAACAAATTATTGAATTAATACAGTCTGAAAAGTTTGAATGTGTAAATTACTAATTACGTTACTAATACCCGACTTCTCTATACTCAGTGAATCTATATCTATACTCAAAACTCAAAATATTGTGTCCTAATCCTTTAGTTAAAAACATGATTGGAGTCTGGCAAGAAGTTAAGAAATACTTAAGATTCCCCCTTCATTTCTTACTTCAGCCCAATCTTGGGCAACAACTTCTTTAGACCAGGGAGAGCCAAAGCTGGTTTCAAATTGTGGTCAGATACAGGGGTAAAACAAGTAAAAGATATTTATGGTAACGATGGGAATATTCTAACCTTTGAGGAGTTATTTAGAAAATATAACATCCCCCGGAAACATTTTTTAAAATACCTTCAGCTAAGGAATTAGCTGGAATCAAAACGAACCGAACCACTAACAACACTAGAGACTACTTACAAAAAATCCTTTTGGAAAGGGCATCATCTCTGAATTTTATGATTTACTGAGAGAGTTTTCTTCTGAGTCTAAATTCCATGCATGGAAAACTGGGCTGGTATTTATCAAGCTTCTCAAAGTGCAATTTTAGTCCTAAGAGAATTCATGAAATATACTCCTATCTCTAAACTTGAGAATATAAGCAAGTTATCAAATTTCTTAAAGCTAAGAATCACTCTTACTCCCAGTTATTTAAGACAGCTCAAGAAGTCTCTCAAGTGGATAGGAGCTGCAAGTCAGTTCTTAGCAGTGTTATGAGTAATTCTGAGAAGCTTGATAAATACGGGCCCAGGCCAGTAAGTAAAGTAAATGGGGTCTCAAGTGGTTAGGAGTTGCCAGTAGGGCTTGTGATGGCACTGTGGAGACCAAGACATGCGCAAATCTTTCAGGAGAGGAATATTTGTTTCTGAATTATTTGACGACGCACAGTTAATAAGACGGGGTCGGACAGCGCAAGCATAATCCTTGCCAGCGAGTTGGTGAGGGATGTCATCTCACCACTGACTTTATGCAGTACTGCGTTTTCAGTTAAACTGAAGGTGGTGATGACACTCAGCAGCAATGGTGATGAATTTGGTTCGTCACAACCATCAATAAGCCGAATAGTCATGGAAACAATTATGGCACTTACAGCTCCACACACTGTCACGCGTTTCATCGACTTCCCAACAACACCCCCGTAATCCGACAGAAGTAAACACCGTTCATGCATTCCCAAGAGCAATTGATGCCGCTTCTGTAAAGACAAACTTTTTATCTTTCTTAATGTGTAGGCCATGTGTAGGCCGTCTCTTGAAAATTCTTTATTGTTAAACGTGTGTTGAATATAAACTCCTCTTAGGAATTTCACCATTCAATGTGAATTTATCTGAGAATATTCTCAAATAAGGAAATGTCTTCAGTGATTGGTCCTTGGCTACACTGTCATCCAAAATCCTGTTTGCGGCACAGCAAAGTGTCTACACTTCACTGAAATTAGGACTATGATGCTTAATAACTAACTTTTGAACACAGCTTTGAGCCAAGAATCTTTTTACTCTTAAGTCAGTTCTTAGCAGTGTTCTTATGAGTAGCTTGATAAATATGGGCCCTGATCTACAGGAGGAACTATCATTGGAACATTGGTGTAACAGATAGGTAATACACGCCTAAGACTCTTACAATATAATTGGCTAATAAGGGTGTGTATTACTCCAGCAAAATTAAACAAATTTAATTTGAATATCCCAGACACATGTAAAATATGTGGGGTAAATAAGGGCAATTTATTTCACTGCCTCTGGCAGTGTCCAAGAGTGAGGGAGTTTTGGAGAAGGTTAAACTGTCTGTACAGGAGATTCTTTCAACTAGATTAGATATGGAACCTAGGAGCATCATGAAAATTTTTTATAAACGTGTTCTCTACAGGCAAAAAGGACTATGGCCTTATCATGGAAAAACTTTGGTAAACCCACTATTGCTGTGTGGTTTAGGGAACTTATATCTTGTTTATCTCTGGAAAAAAAATTCTTACACTCTTAAGGACAGACAGGAGGTATTTCAAAATGTATGGGTTTGTTTCATCAAACAAATGAAGGACCATGATTTGTCACGCCTGATGGACAGGCCTGGAACGGTATAGGTGCACCCTCTGCACAACCCAGTTTCTTCTTCTGCTCTCTGGACTATATGTTAATGTATCTTCTGTGGACTCATGATTATGTGCCTTCATTGGGGAGGCCCCCTGACCACCATGTTTTTGTTTCGATGTAGCAAGTGTGTATAATATAAAAATAAAAAATTTGTTCTGACGGTGAATGTTTGTACACTTCTGTAACATTTTACACACCTCTCTGCTGTTATTTGTTCTTGTATGTCTTTCTATAAAATGAAAATCCAATAAAGATAAGAAAAAAAAAAGATAGGCACAAGAAAACACACACTGGGCAGATGACAAGTGGAAAATTTCTTTTTATGGACAGATGAGGTTAAGTTTGAGGTTTTCAAATCACAAAGTGATGAATGTTTGTGAGATTGTTGAAGGAAAAATTCGGGTTTGGGCCAGTAAAAAACCCCAAAACCTGTCTCCACCACAGTGTTTCCTCTACAAACTGAATTGTGACTGCAGCTACTAAAATTTCCCACACATTACAACTATGCAAGCACGGTAACACTCATTGCTTGGCTCGCTTCCTCTCCTTATTCATCAAACATCTATGTGACACGCACTGTTATAGCAAACGATGTGGGTTTTGTAGATCATTGGCAGACTTTCTGGGGAAGACCTGGTCTGATTCGGAGAGATGCCAGGCTGACTTGGGAAGGAGCAGCTCTCATTTCTAGAAATCTGGCCAAGTTTATTAGTGGACCAAATCCATGACAACCCAGAGTTGAGACCAGGAGGCAGAGTCGCAGTCTAACACACTTCTCTGCTCCTCCATTTCAGGAGTTATTTAGTGAAAATCCTATAGTGACAGTGTCTGCCCCCTGACCATTGAAATTATTTAAATCAAAGGTAAACAGAAGAGGAGCTGTACATAAAAACCTCATAAAAATTAAAACCACAAGAGCAATAGTGTAAACGAATAGGAAAATTAAATATGGACTGATCTCTCTCTTCTAAAGGTGTACTAGTAAATGAACTAATTTCAGATTATGATATTGATTTATTTTGTCTTACTGAAACCTGGCTGGGTGATGGAGAATATGTTAGCCTAAATGAATCCACCCCTCCCAGTCATATTAATACTCACATTCCTCGAGGCACAGGCCGAGGAGGTGGAGTTGCAGCTATCTTCGACTCTAGCCTACAAATCAGCTCTAAACGTAAACTAAATTAAAACTCATTTGAAAGCCTTGTTCTTAGTCTTTCACATCCAAGTTGGAAATCACTGCAACCAATTATTTTTGTTATAGTGTACCGAGCACCTGGTCCGTACTCTGAATTCTTATCCGAATTTGTTTTTGTCAACTTCAGGCTTGCTGCGAATGACACTCGACTCTGTAGCCCCTCTAAAAAAGAAAATACTAAAACAAAGACGGTTAACTCCATGGTATAATACTGAAACTCGCAAATTAAAGCAAATATCGCGGAAACTTCAGAGGAATTGGCGTTCCACCAAACTGGAAAATTCTAGTCTTAAAACTTATAGGAAGGCCCTCCGTAATGCCAGAGCAGCGTACTACTCGTCATTAATAGAGGAAAATAGGAACAACCCCAGGTTTCTTTTCAGCACTGTAGCCAGGCTGAGTCACAGCTCTATTGAGCCAAGTATTCCCATAGCTCTCAGCTGAGCTTCTTTAATGATAAAATTCTAACTATTAGAAACAAAATTCACCAAGACCTGCCCTCAACTGGCACCGACTTATCTCTAAACTCAGGAACCTTAGAAACAGCTGTAGAACCAGATATATGTTTAGACTGCTTTGCTTCCCTCAATCTTTACCAACTAACTTCAATAATTTCTTCATCTAAACCATCAACCTGCCTCTTAGACCCCATCCCGACTAGGCTGCTTAAAGATGTTTTACCCTTTGTCAGCACTTCTATACTAGATATGATCAACCTTTCTTTATTAACAGGCCACAGTACTTTAAAGTAGCTGTAATTAAACCTCTTCTGAAAAAGCCCAAACTTCATCCAGATGTTTTAGCCAATTAGACCTATATCTAACCTTCCATTTCTCTCTAAGGAGAAAGCAGTTGCTAAACAGCTGTTTGACTTTCTACAGAGTAATAGTTTATTTGAGGATTTTCAGTCAGGATTTAGAGCTCAACATAGCACAGAGACAGCACTGGTGAAAATTACCAATGACCTCCTAATTGCATCGGTCTCTGTACTGGTTTTACTAGATCTTAGTGCTGCATTTGATACCATTGACCATCAGATCCTTCATAAAAGAGCAGGTCTAGACCATACTCTATGATGTTATTTACAGAAGCCCAACAATTCCCACCAAGAGCGAGCACTCTGCGACAGAGGCAAGGAAAAACTTCCTTTAAGAGGCAGAAACCTCGAGCAGAACCATGGCTCAGGGTGGGCGGCCATCTGCCTCGACCGGTTGGGGGTGAAGGAGAGAGAGAGAGAGCAAGAGAGAGAGAGAGGGAGAGGGCAAGAGAAGAACAGAGAGAAAAATAGAGGGATGGAAGGACAGAGAGGGGAGTTAGGCAGCCTACACAATATACACACAGAGGTACAGACAGTAAAGGTGATGTTGCTATAGACTGAATGAAAAATGGTACAGATATTTAAAGTAGTGTTAATGAGAACAGTCGTAATGTTAATGATTATAATAACAATAATAATAATAGGACTAGTAACAATAATTGTAGCAGAGGGTCTCGAGCAGGAACACGGGGGCAGCAGGTGGCCCGCAGCCACAGATCCAGACTCCACAGCTCCAGAGTCAGAAACACCTGCAGGAAGTGATAGGAGGAGAGAGGAGAGGGACGAGAAAGCACAAGACTACCGGAAAGGGGAGAAGTTGTGTTAGTAACATGCATTAATGGAATGAGGTTGCATACAGAGGGAGAGAAAGAAGAGGAGAGAGGAGC